CCGGGAGGATAAACTCTTGCATAATGCATAACACATAATGCAAAACGCATAAGAAAAAGTACCAATCAAAAAATCCTTCGTTTCCTTCCTTTTCATGAAATAAAGAACTCTGATTGATTGGATTTTCTTATGTGTTATATGTTATGCAAGAATCTGCTTCCCGCTTAAGAACCAATCACAATACGATTGAATACGAGGAAAATATCTGACTGTGATTGGTGAATTGTTACAACTACATTTACGCAATTATAGATTAGGCTTTATGTATTAAACGCAAATAATGCTCTTGTACCCCGGTCTATATTTTTAGATCTAATGGAATATGCCTATCAGATACAAAAGCTCATTGAACGTTCAGTGAGCGGTCGTTTTCTGGATCCATTGGCTGCGTTCAACGGACTCAACAGTTGAGTGAGCGCTGCTATTGATGTATTCTTTTAGATCATCCAATCAGCATTTTGGATCTGGAACAATACATCAATGGCTACGTCCAGCAGAAAAAGCAGATTTATATAATACATTAACATAAACAATTAGCTTAAATTTATTATCTATTTTAAGTAACTATATATTAAAATGAATCAAATGTGGATAGGCACACAAATTGGGGGCACATTTATAGGGCCATCGCCGCTTAAAAGATTCACTAATAGAGAACAAACATATGTTTTCTATTTTTATTAAAAACACATTATAAAATATCAATTTTTTAGATTAAAGAAATATTATAAGAAAAAGAAGTAGTTGAAAAATCGATATTGATTACAAGTAGTACAATTAAAACTACAATATTTAATAATTAATTTAGTAATAAGCAAATTGGCTAAAAAACACATTAATAGGGACAGTTACCTTAGTAATATGTACATGATACATGTGTATGAACATGAGTAGTATGTCGATTATTTTAATATTTTTTTATAAAAATATATTAATAAAAAAAAATCACAGTATATGAATATCTACATAAATTTGGGTGCATTTGGGTGAGTTACGCATGAAGTATATAGTGTATCATTTTATCTTTCTTTATTATTCAATGAACAACAAAAACAAACATTGCATAATGCGCTTCATGTGTTATTTGGAACGCATCTTTTATGATGCGTTCAAACTAAAAGTGCCTAATTTCAGATGTGAGGGCGCAACCAGCTGAGAGTATATTCTAGCATCGTGACGTACTTCGCGCGATGCGCGTTTATTCAAGTAGGGCGATCTTTACCGGCCTTCTACTTCCTCTTCTCGTGACTTGATACAATGGCGTCCGGAGTAAGTAACTTTCACGCGGTTTTTCACCGGTTGGCATCCGCGCCGTGAAACGCCAACGCTGGCGACGGAATGTCAGAAAATAAAGCCTACACAATGCGTTATCCGCCCCACTGTGAATTTCTTTCAGATCCTTTACACGTACCCGGAAAATTTCCGAGCCTACAAGGCCCTGATAGCGGCTCAATTCTCTGGCATCCAGATTAAAATTGCTGACGACTTCGTTTTTGGCGAGACTAACAAAAGCGAAGCGTTTCTGAAGAAGTTTCCGTTGGGAAAGGTAAGCCGACTTACTCGCGTTACCTCCGTTCGACTTCTGTAGAAATTTTTTTTTATTTTGTGCAATGTAAAATTAATACGCTTTTTCTGTCGTCACATATGATGACAGACTATAAAATACTTTGTCAATACTGGTACTTTTGGTTTATAACAAACTATCATGAAGTACTATTCAGGCAACGTTCCTTTATTATATTCCAATTGTTTTCATATAAAACATACTGATATACAAAGATGTAGCGAGTCATATGGTATGGTTAGAATTGGTGCTCATATTCTTATAGGAATATTCAATCGTGTATAATAGATCTGTATGATATAAATAAAATAATAAGATGATTAATTTTTTTATATCAGAAACAAGAAAAAGTGAATGAGAAAAAAAAGAAGAGTAGAAAAGAAGGATGGGGTGGGGGTAGGAGCAACTTTTCTCATTTTTAGCTGCTATCTGTGGGTACGGTCAACGCAATGCTGCAAACGCTTTGAAGCGTTTTTTAATTGGTCAGTTTGTAAAATTCTTTCTTCTAATTGGTCCATCAAATGCTTCAAAGCATTTGTAGCGAGACTTTGACCACAGCCTATACACATTATAATATAATAGGACATATTTTTCAATATATATAAAATTTTTTAAGGTCCCAGCATTTGAAACATGCGATGGAAAATATATTACGGAAAGCAATGCAATTGCTTATTATGGTAAGACTTTCTTTAAAAAAAATTATTTATGTATTTTTTTCTTAATATCTGTTTATTTAAACATGTTATGTACTATATTTATAGTGGCTAATGATCAATTGAGAGGGAAAACTGATATTGAACGTGCATTGGTTATCCAATGGTTAGGATTCGCTGATTCTGAAATTCTTCCTGCCAGCTGTGCTTGGGTGTTTCCTTTACTTGGAATAATGCCATATCATAAACAGGTATTAAATTATGGTGTAAATTTTTTCCATATTGCATTAGATATTTGATTTTGCATACATAATTACATGTATCCTCCTTCAAAGGCAAAATTGGCGCAACATAGCCATTCTTTGTAACACAGAGAGGTAGATTAAAGTTTATGCATATAATATTTACATAAAATGCATATGCATTTAAGAGGCATGTGCTTTTATGATACTGTATATACATACATTTATTATTTGATACAAATGCACATGCACATGTAAAGTTATGACATAAAATGCTAATGTAACATTAATTAATTGAATTTATTTCTTTTAGACTGTGGAGCATGCTAAAGAGGATATATATAAAGCACTCGCTGCTTTGAACTCTCATTTGCTTACACGGACTTACTTAGTGGAAGAACGATTGACTTTGGCAGATATTTGTGTAGCTATGACATTGTTACACTTGTATCAATATATTCTTGAGCCGGAATTACGTAAGCCTTACCAGAATGTAAATCGATGGTTCCAAACGGTCATTTATCAACCTGAATCTATTGCTGTAATCGGTGCCTTTAAATTGGCGGATAAGACTATCGAATATGATCCTAAGAAATTTGCAGAAACTCAGGGAAAGGTTAATATATCAATGAAAATATATAATTGTCACAAAAGAAAGATTAATATATAGTAAATTATTATCTTGTATAGAGTTCGAAAAAAGAAAAGAAAGAGAAGGAATCTAAAAAGGAAGCTAAGGAGTCTAAGAAAGAATGTAAAGTTGTAACGGAAAAGACTGCAGCAGTAGAAGATGAAGCTGACGCAACGGAAGAGGCTTTAGCCGCCGAGCCGAAAAAAAAGAATCCTTTTGCTTCGATGCCTAAAAGCTCATTCGACCTTGATGATTTTAAACGATTTTACTCCAACGAAGATGAATCTAAATCAATTCCTTACTTCTGGCAAAAGTTTGATTCGGAAAATTATAGTATTTGGCTTAGCGAATATAAGTATAATAATGAATTAACGAAGGTATGCAATTATTTGAAAAGTATTTGAAAAATTGAAAAGTATACTTAATCATTAACGTGCGTGCTTTTGTGTTTATGTAGGTTTTCATGTCCTGCAATTTAATCAGTGGTATGTATCAACGATTAGATTCATTGAGAAAAGGTGCATTTGCTAGTTGCTGTATATTCGGAGAAGACAATGACAATACGATCAGTGGCATTTGGGTCTGGCGAGGACAAGACCTTGTTTTTACAGTAAGTTTTATAAGAGCACTTAAATGGAATATATAGAGAGTATTTGTGTTAAAATGTAAAAATATTTTCTTTTTCTCTAGCTGAGTCCAGATTGGCAAGTGGATTTCGAATCTTATAGTTGGACAAAGCTTGATTCATCTAAGGAAGAAACAAAGACATTGGTCGAGCAATATTTCAGTTGGGTTGGCACGGATAAAGAGGGACGTAAATTCAATCAAGGAAAAGTTTTCAAGTAAAATCTTGCATCCAAATAAGGAGACAAAATAAAAACAGAAAAATCTATTCGAATGAAATAAATCTAAAAAAAATGATAAAATATCAGAAAAGATTTACATGCGCTCTTTAAAAACCCTGTATTTAAGATAATCACCTGAGATCTCTTTTGCCTAAATACATGTTCCTTTCTCTCTATCTTAATATGAAATTTCTTGTATCCATAGGCATATATTGCTTCATATGTATTTTTAGTTTCCAAAATATATACAAGATTTTATCGTGTATATACGTGTATGTACATATATGTGCACGCACATACGATATATAATATATAAAAGTACATATTAAGATTTATATATCATTTGGAAAGTTTTAAGAAATTATTTATTTTCATCTCGATGGCACAATATTTTTCATTGTTTTTTATTTATCTCTGTCATTCTTACAATTAGTACGAGCTGTTAATTCAAATTGAATGAATCTCGAATAAGATATATGCATGCACAAGTAGAGAAAGATATCAATATTTTGCACTCTAGGTTAAGTTTATGAAAAATGTAATAATTTTATTACAAAATGATTATTTTATATATATATATATATATATATATATATATATATACATACATACATATTTGTGGCAGTGATTTAATTTGGAACTCATATGAAAGATACTGTATCTTGATTTTAATATCTGTATGATATTCATATTGAGAGTTAATTAAAAATTGTTATATATGCAACATATATGTACTTAACACATACTTAACGCATTTTAAAAAGATGTATGGATAATTTCTTTGATATTGTGATATAAACGTGTATTTTCACAGAAATAAATTGGATATTGTTAAAATCCTAAAATTATGCTTCCTATTTTCCCCAATAAGTAAAAATATTTGCATGTTGACAAATGAGGAACATGAGATACAACTCTATAATTGAACAAGAATTACAAATCATTTTTGCAAGACATTAGGATAATTTTACGAGACAATATTAAATATACAATAATATATTTTGTAACAAAGATTCAGTATTTATTATATATTTACAAAGTATAATTTATTATGGAAATCAGTTATTTTTAAAAACCTTTTTTATTCATCCATTCTTTAACACGATTAACATAATCACCTTTAAATTTAATTAAACCTGCAAATTCGTTTATCTGGCTAGTAATTTTATGTCTCGTGCGTTTTTGTACATATTTCTTTAGATCTTGTTCCAAAGCCCATATATCTCCTTGAATTTTAGTAATTTCTGTAATTTTTTTAAGTCCTCTGGGATTTCTATACAAATACACAGGCTGCATGTAATTTTTCGTACGTTCTATGAAGTAGGGATTATCCTTAGGCGAAGCTGTTAAAATAAGAAAAAATACATTACTCCGAGAAATGAAATTTCAGTTTATATATTTTTGATGTAAAAAATGAAACATGTAAATGAAATATAAATCATAATTGTCATACCAGATGCTGGTTTATAGCCAGATGAGAATTTTCCAGTAGTTGGTGGTTTAGGTATAATTTTGTATGGAAGTAAACGCTCTACATATTTCCATTCGTTTTCATCTTTGGTAATCTCGTAATCTGTGTAATTTTCAGGTGTCTTATATTTTGAAGATGATTTGTAACTACTCCATCTCTGTTGAATCTAGAAATAACGATGAAAATGATTTGTGGGAAACTTCATATTTCTTATCATAATCATCTTTGTCATCAATTTGAGTGAATTTTGCATTATTAGATCAGAAATGTTAAAAAGTTTGCATTTTCACCCTAGACTTATAAAAATTACAATTTTCATACACATTTGTAAAAGTAAATAATAATATGTATCACTTCATTTAAGATTCACCGATACTATTAAACAACTTGGATAATTGAAACATACAGAAAATCTTGGGAGAATTGAGTCGAAAACTACAAACAAAATTGACGACTACGCAAAAAATTCTTGAACGAAATTGTTCCAATTATTCCAAGATAACGAAAGAAGGACGTAAAGAATTGCGTGAAATCGTTTAGAGAAACTCGACACGTACCTGAGAGACTCGCGTGATCGTGACGCGATTCAACAACTGTACAGAATTCGAGATCGCGACGAGGTTACCGCATGCGAGAATCCGAAGGACCGCCATTTTGAAAACTTTAGTAAATAAGGGTCGGCGCCGTCGGCGGCCATTGAGATGAACAACGACGAGACGGGCACGGGCGCGGACGCGGACGCGTCCTCCCTCTCCCTCTCCCTCTCCCTCTCTCTCTTTCTCGCCATAACTCGTCACTATTCGTCAGTGTTCGTCACTGCAGCCGAGTTAGGCCGAGTCTGGACTGTATGGAGGTCTGGACCGCTGCGAGTCTCGTATCGCGGGCAACCGCGTGCCAACTCGCGGCGCTATCGTGACATTCGTTTTTTTTCATCAGGATATTAGGCCCGCGCGGGCCACTATTGCCGTCGACGGCGTCGACGATGACCGGGCGACGAGTTAGGTGAATGTGAACGTGAGTTCAGGATTGTACACGCTCGCCAACGCCAGCCAGCGCTCGCCACGCTACGAGCTACGATGTGTGTGCTTACGGTGTATAAGATCCGCGCTCTGTAAAGTACTGTAACCTGTAACGCGGAGTCAGTTAGCGCGCACGTACCGTAGCGTTTCGTTTCCCGACTCGAGTGGTGGAGTTGGAGGCGAGGTGACGCGAGGTGGTGACGCGACGCGGCGGGATAAAGTGAAGTGAAGTGAGGTGTGAACGTAACTAGTGGCCGTCGTTGTCGCTACTCTCCCGGTAGCCGGCGTCGCGACGACCGACGTCGCCCGACAGTGCTCTCTTTCAACCCGCATCATCGTTGTCGAGAGTCGGTGGCGCGACCGCATCGGTGTCTACCATCACGACTGAACCGGGGGTAGCGAAACCAGGTGAAACCTTTAACCCAGTGAAAACTGACGAGACCCGCGGCAGGCAGGGTGCGATCGCGACCAAGCAGAGCAAGTAACGCCTTGTTATCGCGAACGGACTATGCTCCTGGGAAAAGTCGCACACCACGGCCGTCAGGTGGCGGTAGCCGGGAAACAGTGGGACGGCGCATAGACACCCTGCAACGGGACTGTTCTTTCCACGGGGATTGTTGTTCGCGTTTACTCGCGATCATCACGGACCTACGGCAGGATTTTCAGTCCCCAAGGTGAGTACCGTCGTCGGGGTCGCGAGAGGGCCTGCGATCGATCGTCGCTTCGGGCCCGTCGCGGCGGGATACCATCCCGAAAGTTCGAGCCGAGCTCCGACCTTTTGTTTATTCGTGGCGATTTTTTTCATCACCATTTCGCGCGACGATTTCACGACCTTCCCGGAGAGTCCCGAGCGGATTTCTCGGCTCGATAGTTAGCATGTGACGCGCGCTTTCTCGCGAGCGCGAAATTGTCGCGAACGGATGAACGTAAGCCGAGATATCATGCGAAATATTTCAGCCGTGCGAGAGCGGCTCGAACGAGTCAGCCGAGCTGTTGGAGCGCTGAGCGCTGAGCGCACCGAGCGAGGCGCTCCGTGCATCCGTGTGTGTTAACGCAAAGTTTGTCACGTAATTTTTCTGGTCGCCAGGGCCGCATCTAGCAACCCCGCTATCCTCTCTCCTATTTTCTGTCTATTCCGACTCGACGGATTCGACGGACTCGACGCTGCGCCGCGTCGTGCAGCCACTTTTCTAGCTCCCTGTTCACTGTTGCCCTTCCGATGTCTCTCTCGCGCTCTCCCTCGATTATGCCTCGCTAAATCGTGCGTGCGTTTCACACCGCGAAATGGTATCGCGCGCCCGCGCGCACGCTACGGCTTCTTGCCATTGCAAAACGTGGATTTTGACTCGCCATTTTACTTTTATGCTAGTTCATGGATATTTTCATGGATATTTACAAATATCGTATACTCACATAGTTTCTTTTCGTAATTATCGTTTTGTCTTTTATCAAATGTTTTGCTTTAAGTTTTTTTTTCTTTCTCTCTTTCTCTTTCTCTCAATGATTTTTCCATTGAGTCATTCAAGATTGTTTTCTACATGTAGTAATTTTATAAACGATTGCAACTATTGTTGTAATAATTTGCCAAGTAATTTGTCAACAATGAGTTTAGATAGTTGTTGAGAAAGTACAATGTAAATGACGTTACAGGAGCCCAATGTGGGTGGAAGTGAGATGGCATCCAGGGAAAAGAAACCCTTAGCGCCTTCCAAATCGAAACAGAAGGCGAGTAACGATTCCGTCTTGCCATCCAATGAGGTCAAGAATAAGAAAGGCAAGTCATTGCTGAATGTAAAACAGCAGCTTGCGGCACAAGAGATTTTTGATACAGTAGCGACAGGTAGTCAACTTCCTGTAAAAATAGAGGCGAGCTTACCGCGTAGGAATGCTCTTAAAAATCTGAAACGCAAACAGAAGAATCTAAGAGCAACTAAGACAAATCTTATCAAGTCCAAGGTTACCAAGAAAGTGACCAACAGGATAGCTCCTGATATTAAGAGAGGTGCCAAGGGTACGAAGAGAGTTCGACAGCTAGAAGATTCAACCGCCAAGGCAGCAGATATTGCTCAGAAATTTTCGGAAAATCAGACAAACAACGGGGACAACGAAGGTAAAGGAACTGAAACACCAAGTAAAAGTGCCAAGAGTAATCTCAGGACCAAAAAAACCAAATCTGACGTTCAAAATAAGGAAGAAGCTGGTGCTGCGTCGAGTGCTAAAGTCAGTCCGAAACTTGGCAAGAAAGGAAAGACAACGGAAAATCCAGATTCTTTGTCTAAGAGTGCCAAAACAGTCAAATTAACGAACTTGAAGAAGAACAGTTCCAGTCTTGTAAAAGTTACGGAGACTGATAACAAGAGTGGGAAAAACCGAAAGAGCACTGGCAAGGAATTAGATTGCGGTACTAGCGCAAGAAGCAATACTAGTGTTGAAAAATTTCCAAAGACGATTTTAGATAACAAGAATTCTATCGATCTTACCATAGACGAAGTCATTGCTTCAATGTTAAGCGACTCCGAAGTTGAAAGTCAACAAAGCGTTACAGAGAAGGCTGAAGGAAAGGCGAAAAGAAGTAAGAAAATGTTAGTAGATGAAAATATCGCCTGCGACATCGAGATAAAGAAAGAACCTGATACCGACGACACCAAAGGTACATCGGACGGAGAGTCTATAGAAACGGATCAAGGACTTCAGAATGCCATTCAGTTGAGAAAAAGATCGAAAGTCGGATATATCGAGCAATCATCTCAAAGAAGTTTGCGAAATGGAAAGCAGCGTCAGTTGTCAGATTTGGGAAATTCTGCAGATAACGATCCTAAAAAGCGACACAGGATAAATTCGGATGGAACTGTTATTTCAGATAATTCGATCGAACATATCTCGGATTGTAATATAAATATCGACTCTTGTTTTTCGGATCCTGGTTATAATGAATCACAAAATATTGCAGCATCGAGCAAAGAGGAGATTTGTTCCAAGGATGAAGCGTTTAATTTTGAAGAGGATATTGAGACCGGATCGGAATTAGAAAACAACAATAATCGAGAAAACAACAGCGATCGCGCAGACAGGACAGGCGAGACCGGACCTACACTACGTTCTAAAACTAAAGCTAAAACTACGGAATGCGAAGTGACGAGAGACGATGATATTAAAATCGAAGACGTGCGAATAGTGCCCAGATGTACGGAAACGCAAGAAGATTCAAAGAAACTCAATAATTTCGACCAAATGAAGAGGGACAATATTTTAGCCAAATTCACAGACAAATCTAAAGGTCGCAGAAGTAGTTTAAACATAGACATGAAGAAAACAGTCAATTCCTTTTACAGCACAGATAAATCGGACGGCAACTCAAAATCGCAAATAGATCAAATGATTGAAGATATTAAATTAAATATTGCAAAATCCATCGAAAATAAGATCTTTGGTCCGGAAAAAGGTCTTGGATTAAGTAAAAACTTTGACGTGCCTAAGATTGAAGAAATTGTCGCACCACTCAGTACGGAGTCTCAGAAAATGGGACTAGAAGACAATACTGACGAGGATAAGTCCACGGTTACGAAAAATGAAATCACGTCAGAAAATTCAGAAAATTCAGTACCAAAAGTGGCTGACACTGCCAAAGAGATTGAAGAGAAACTAGTCAAGTTTGATATCGGGGAAGCAGAGACACATTCGCAGAATGTTCAAGAGAACAAGTCATCCGATAATGACGGAATTAATGACGTACATAATAACTGCGAGTCTACATGTAATATAAATAATAGTAATGCTGCAGAACAATCGTACAAGAATGTAGATGAGCCAGAAAAAGAAAACGTTAGTTGCAGTACAACCAGTGGCGCCAATGTCAGTAGCACCGAGTCGAAGATATTAGACGAAAATAAGAAAATTACGAGGAAGTCTCCGAGAATCAATGATAAAAATTTTACTGATAGTGTCAGCAATAACGAAACGAGAAAATCGAATAGGACACCAAATAAAACAGTTTCAAGATCGGATAACATGGAGGATATTGTAACGGATATACAAAAATCTACAAACGAAGAAACGATTTCAGAGGATCAAATTTTGGATGATGATATTGTAGGTTTACCAGTGTCTGCATCGATGTCCCCTGAACAAACAGAGAAGAGACTTACAGAAGAACATATACAAGCAAAAGAAACAGAAGAATTAGAAATTGAAATCTCTTTGAACGTTACAGATAATTCAGAAGAAGCAGAAACATTGGAAAGTATATCTCGCGAGGTAGAAAGATTAGTAGCGGAAGATCACTCTGCCAAATCATTACCAATCTTACCAAATATTACAAATGACACGATACGAAATGATGTCGATACAAAGATATTGGAAAAGGAATTGGAGATTGAAAATAACCAAGAAACACCTGAGAACTCTTTGCTATTAGGATCAGTTGTCGATGACACAAACGAAACACCAAGCAAAAGTTTAGACGAGAAGTCTGACACAACTGAACTATTACAAGACAACGATGCGTCTTGTAAAACGGCGCAAAGCGCAAAACGTCCAAAAGTTAACAATAATTTATTACACGTACCAACTACTGTAAACTGTGATTCAAATAATAGCTCTGTAAATTCTTCGTCTGTACAGTGCACCTCTGATCGACTGAACATTGAAACCAAGGAGGACCTCGACCATGATAGTAGTTGTAAAGAATTAAACAAATCTAGCGATATATCAAACACAGACG